TTCTTTGCAGTGCCTGGAACGCGGTGCAGTTACAGGAATAGGATTTTGAGCAGCCTTTGGCCTCACCCTGTATGCCATAAGGTGGAGCCAGGCTCCCTCAGCTCAGCATGGCAGCACGGAGACACGAAATACAAGAGCAAATGCCGCACTATGCACCTTGTTATCCCCATCCTTTTTCAGTTCTACCCAGAATCAGGCGCTTGGCGATCCCTAACAAAGCAAGCACAAACCTCAAAATAGAAGTGATGTTATCTTTTCATGGCTGTTTATAAAATTTTCTCCAATTACAGCTTCTGACTGGGTCCTCTGACTGATCTTTGCTGGGCAGGCACATTATGGCCCAGCAAAGTCTATATTTGGGACAGGATAGCAGCTGTCTCATTCTAATCTCCTTTCCATAGCAAGGGGCGTGATTTGCAGTCTGTAATTATCCCTTCAGGAACACAACAGACACTCAAAGGACACTTTCCCTTTCCTTCTTTTTGACAGCAGCACCTTGAGGCTGAAGAGTTTCTTTTCCACACGCTCTTTGAATATTTGTGATCATCTCTTTCTGTTTCACTTTGGTGGACAACAGTTCCTCCTTTTGAGACAATACATCCATTGGGTCTACTCCTTTTTTCTGTCAGACCTCATGCTGGCCCTGCAGCCCCCCATGGCCCTGCAGATCATCACAGGGAGTAGAGGGGCATCACTGAGCCCTGCTCTCTTGTGACAGTGACAGTGCCCAAGGGAAAGGCATGGAGCTGTCAGGGAGGGTCCAGGGGTTGAAGGATAGGCTGTGCCCCAGTGTGTGGTGGACATGGCACAGATGGGGAAGTTAGCAGAATTCCCTTCCTTCCCTGCCAGCTCTGTACCTCCCCATGTGATCCTTCACAAACTCTTCTCTCTTCTTGTGGTACACAGGGGATGGGATGCAGAGGGTTGGTGCGTGAGGCTGTGGGGCATGCAGGGTGTTCCGGGTGTTCTGGCAGGTGGCTGTTCAGTGCTAGGGGGAACTGCTCTGTGCAAGAGCCAACATCCTCTCTGCCAGGTATTGCTTTTAGTTTTGTTCTCTGCATTTCCCCGAGCTGAGTGCAGTTACGGGAAATGTTTGTTTGTGGACCTTGTGCTTCACCCCGCGTGTCTGCAGGTGGGGCAGGGCGCTGCCTGGCTCGAGGGCACCCACAAGGCAGCACAGCCCCAGCACTGCACAGCCCTGGGCTCTGCCCTCCCAGCAGAGGGTACAGAGATGGTCGGGGGCCTGGAGGAAATGGGCCCTTTGAGGCAAGGCTGAGAGCCCCGCGGCTGTTCAACCGCAGAAGGGAAAACAGAGCGATCTTCTCATAGAGTCACAGAATGGTTTGAGTGGAAGGGATCTCTAAAGGCCATCTGGTCCCACTCCCTGCAGTGTGCAGGGACACCCCCAGCTCCATCAGTGCTCAGAGCTCATCCTGACTGTGGGTGTCTGCAGGGATGGGACACCGCCACTTCTCACTGCTACATGTTCAGTGCCTCACTGCTCTCACTGTACAAAACTCCTTCCTTACATCCATCTAAATCTCTGCTCTTTTTGTTCATTTCCCCTTGTCCTATCACACAGACCCCACTACAGAGTCTGTCCCCTTCCCTCTTACAGCCTCTGTAGGTACTGAAGCCTCACTCAGCCCTCCCTGCAGCCTCCCAGCTCTCAGCCTGTCCTTGCAGGGAGGTGTTCCACCCCTTGGGGTCACTTTGTGCCTTCCTCTGTATGTTCTCCGACAGCTCCATGTCTCTCCTGCACTGAGCATTCCCCATCCAGACACAGCACTCCAGGTGAGGTCTCCCAGCACAGAGCAGAGGTGCAGACCCCCTCCCTCTCCCTGCTGGCCGCGCAGCTCTGGGTGCGCCCAAGGTGCTGTTGGCTGGCACAGGGCACAGTGCTGCCTCGTGCTGCTGCCCCTCCAGTGCCCCCAGGTCCTTTTCCATAGGGCTGTGCTCCACCCTTACAGCCCCAGTGTGTATCACCAACTCAGTCTCCCATTCCCTTCAATGTTCTCTTCAGTGCCCGGATCCATGACTTGGAGGTGTGCTGAGTAATAGCAAGAACGGAGCTGTTATCCCTAGTTGGGTCTGTGCCCGTAGGACAGAAACACAGAGCTGGGATGCAGACAGAGGTCTCTGTTTTATTTCTGTGCACAATCAGGTGTTTGGTGATTCTGATACTGGGGGATTGTGGATTATGGGTTTCAGCCATTCATCTCTTCCACCAAATAAGGAAACAGATGAAAATCAAAGCGATGACAATGAGAATTACCCCACATTTTGTAAGGACTCCCCTGTATGACAAGGAGTCGAGCAGCGCGCTCCATGGTCTGGCTGCTTTCTCCATGTGATACCTAACTTTCTCTTCTGTTAAAAAGGGATCCAGGTACAACTCACTGCTGTAGTACCTTCCCTCATTCTCCTGCACGGTTTGGTGGACCTTATTCATCAGCTGCTGGACCTGCTGGTCCCGCTCTGCCCCGGAAACCCTGTTGTTGATGCTGCAGTACCGATTCCGGCAGCTCTGGATCAGGCTGCGCAGAGCTCTGTTGTCAGTGTAGGTCACGTAGTTATGCAGAGATCCCCCCACCAGCTCCTCTCCCCGGGTGAACACAACAACCATGTGCCTGAACACACCGGCTCCAAAGATGTTCCGCACGCCCTGCACAGCCTCCTGGTCCTCCTGGGTGAAGCGGCCCAGCTGAGTGACCAACAGCAGCACGTGGGGGCCAGGCGAGGACAGCTCGATGCAGCGGGTGATTTCCCTGCACACCTCATTGCTGCCACTCCACAGATGGAAGATGTCGGCCGTGTCGACCACCACAATGTCCTCTCCATCCCAGTGCCCAGTTGCTGACTTGCAGCTGCGGGTCACCGGCGTGGTGGACAGCTTGGACTCGAAGACGCGTCGCCCCAGGATGGTGTTTCCCGTGGCGCTTCGCCCACCTCCAGTCTTCCCAACCAGGAGCAGCCGCATTGTGGAGCCTCTGCCGTCCCCGGGCAGCACAGGAACACGTCGGGTGGCCGTGGTTGTGCTGCAGGGATACGAGCGGAGGTGCAGGGCTCCATCAGCTGCTCAGCCGGAAATGCTGCAGCACAGGCAGCTCCAGCAGGGCCGGAGAGCAGCAGAGAAAGGAGAGAGGAGAAGGAGAGGCGTGACACCGCGTGCTGGGGTGGCACAGAGCAAAGGGACGGCGACAGCCCAGGGTGCAGGGGCACGGTGGTGTGGTGACAGAGACCCCTATGAGTGGTGACAGGGACCCCCCAGGAGGTGTAAGGGACCCCTCTGGGTGGTGACGGGAACCCCCTTGGGGGTGACAGACCCCTCTGGGCAGTGACACACGTGCAGCTGGGGTTGGCACGGGGCTGAGTGCAGTGCCGAGGGTCTCCCCATGCTGGGGCTGTGGCTGTGCTGATGGACGGGGTCAGGTCTACGCTGTGCTCCTGTGAGCGTGGGGAGCGAGGAGAAGGGAAATGGGGAGAGGAGAAAGGGAGCAGAAAAATGGGGAGAGGAAATAGAGAAAGGAGACAAGGGATGTAGGGAGGGGAGGATAAGGGGAGAAGGGAAAAGGGAAAAAAGAAGAAGGGAAAAAAGAGTGGACGGAGAAAAAGGTGTAAAATGGAGAAGAGGGGAACGGGAAGCAGGGAAAAAAGGGACAAGGAGAAACGGGAAGAAGGGACAGAGCCGCTCCTTGCCCCGCTCCCCCTGCCTCGGCTCCCGGGCACCGCAGCCCCTCCCGGAGGCACGGAGCCCCCCCCGCTCCCCGCCCGTACCTTCCCGCAGCTCCGGTCTCACCCCGCCCGGCACAGCCGCGTCCCCACGGGGCCGCGCACCGCCTGGAGGCGCAGCGATCGCGGCTCCTCCCGCCCCCTCCCCCCCCACCCCTGGCGCTGCCCCGCGCGGTGACGCTCCGTGCGACATTCACCCTTTCTTTGGGCTTCTCCGGGGATGGACGCTGCAGCCTCCGGTCAGTCCGAGCCGTCGGACCGGCAGTGAGAAGTGCGGCACTGACGCAGCGGCCCCGTCTGGTTCCGATATCGCTGTTATCACCGTCCCAACCAGCACCGCCTCTGCCCCGTGGCACTGCCCCCATAGGCAGATTGCCTGCAATAAACAATAATGCAGATCATTAGAGGACCCACGGATGTGCCCATGGGAGGCTGACAGCCCACAACAGGTTGACAGCCAGGACGGGGAACAGGATTTTCTCTGAGGTCTCTTCCAGCCCCAGGCATGCTGCAACTCTGTGATGTCCTGAGGTTGCCTCTATATTCTGGCTACATCCTGAGTTGGAATATTGGGCCCATAAGGATCAGCCGATCCAACCCTTGGCCTCAGAGAAGAGCACCCAAACCCCAACCTTATGTCTGAGAGTGCTGAGCATCATGAGCCCCAGCAGCTCAGGGCTGTGCCTGCTACCCTGGGGAGCTGCTCCATGCTCACCGCCGTCTGGGCACAGCATTTACCTCACTCTCCTGACAGCTCCATGCTGTTCCCTCGGGTGCTGTCAGTGTCACCAGAGAGCAGAGCTCAGTGCTGCCTATCCACTCCCTGTGAGGAGCTGCAGGGCTATGAGGGACTGTAGGGCCATAGGATGTCAACAAGAAGAGAAGGCAGCATCCTGTGATTGTCCATTTGGCTCCTTAAGGGCTAATTAGATACTAAACCCCAAGCCCATTGCAATGGAAAGGTTAGAATGAGCCAGCTGCTGTCCCCTCTCAAACCCCAGGTGCAGAATGCAGCCCTTGCTGTTGTTCACCTTCATGAGGTCAGGCACTGTCGAGCCCTCCCATCAGTCGGGGTCTCTCTGCAAGGTCTCTCTGCCCTCAAGGGAGCCAACAGCTCCTCCCAATTCAGTGTCACCTCCAACACTGCTTTGTACACTTTCTAGTCCCTCATCCAGGACCCATACACTGGCATGCATCCACCTGGAGCAGCAAACCCTGCACCAGCTGTGCTCTGGTTGGGAGCTCATCATTACTGCAGTCGCGGTCCTCCAACTCAGAGCTCCAGGGGTCCCACATCCCACCACTGGTGATGAAATCAGAGGCTGAAGAAGGCATGAAATGCCTCTGCTCTATCTCTCTGTTTGTGAGGTGCCCATCCTCACCACGTAACGGCACGATGTTACCAGCAGTGCAGTGTGGTTGGAGGTCTGTGAGTAGTGAGTGGTGTTCCCCAGGGGTCGGTATGGGTACAGTGTTGTTCAGCATCAGCCTCAATGACCTGGATGAAGGGATGGAGTCCATCCTCAGCAGGTTTGGTGATGGCACAAGCTGGGAGGAGCTGTTGACACACCTGAAGGCCGTGCTGCCATTCAGCAAGACCTGGACAGGCTGAGAGCTGGGCAGGAAGGAACATGATGCGGTTTAACAAGAGAAGGGTAGAGCCTTGCACACGGGGCAGGATGGGGCCCAAAGAGCAGCACTGTGCCAACACCCCTGTGTGGTTTCTGCTGTGTGACTTCTCGGAATGGGAGTGGCTCAACCCAGGCTTTGGCTCACTCCATAGGAGTGCAGCGCGGTCACTTTCACTTTCTGAGGCTGCCATCTGGATGAGCTCAGAGTTGAAATCAGAAGTAAGCTGAGCAGAGCGACTTCCTGAGCACCAGCAAGGTGTGAAGGAGCAGCAGAAGCTGCAGCTGTAAACAACTCAACCCAACTCACCCAAGTACCCTCTTCCCACCCCCCAACCCCTGCCCCCAACCTCTGCCTGCTGGGTCCTGCCTTGGGGGTGGGGATGCCCCGGGCCCCCACCAGGGACACATGTCCTCTGGGACCAGCATCACCTCACAGCCCACGACACACCAGCAGCGAGATTCACGTGTTCATGGAATGCAGGAGGCACCATGCGTCCCTCAGCATGGCAGCAAAGTGGCACAAATCCCTGAAATCCTGCAGGGCAGTGGGAAGGAGGGCTGAGTCCCTTGGGATCCCAGCTCCCAGCTGGCACCTGACCCCATATCCTCCACTCTCTCCATGTGCCACATTCAGGGATCTCCCCAAACTCTGCGGCCACTCCAACACCTATGGGGATGTGAGGAGGGCTCAGACCACAGCAGTGAGGGCCCCACGATTGACCTCATCCCCACCCTGCTGCCACCAGAGCTGCCGATGGGTCCCTTCTTGTGGGTGCAGCTCCCATCCCTTGGGCACTATTTCCATCCCACGGGTGCTGTTCCCACCTGATGTGTTTTGTTCCTGTCCTATGGGTGCTGCTCTTGTCCTGTAGGTGCTGTTCCCATCCCATGTGTGAAGTTCCCACCCCCGTGGGCACTATTCCCATCCTGTGGGTGCTGCTCCTGTCCCATGGGCACTGCTCTCTACTCAGACACTCCATGCACTCCCAGCAGCATGGGGACGTTTCCCAGCAGCTGCTGCCCATCTCTGTCCCTGACACTGTCCCACCATGACCAGACCACGCTACAGGCAGTGAGATGGGGCAAAGCCACAACACAGCACGGCAGGCTCACAATTTGTGATGCTGTATTCACAGAGATGCGCGGCCCACACGGGGCTGCAGTGCGGTTAGGAGGAAAAGCAGCTGCGTGTTTTGCGGGGCAGCGCTGCAGCGTGCCTACCAGGGAAAGGCACACAGCACAGCTCTGCTGGCTAACGCACAAAGCGGTGGTACAGCCGGATAACGCTCTGCCAGCCCCACGAGAGCACACGGCGCAGGGTGCGCCCGAGGACCAGCAGTGCTGCAAGGACGCAGCAGCAGCAGAAGCACACGCACCGCGCACACCGCGTGCCGCGCAGCCACTGCACGGCCGGGATGAACCGCAGCCGCTCCAGGAGCCGCGTGTGCCACCGGCCCCGCAGCCGCCGCTCCGCGTCCTCGGCCGGGAGATCGCATTTCTTCTCGAAGTCGACGTCCGGGAGCTCCAGG